TCTCAGCCATGTTGGTCATACCATCCTGGGCATGAACACAGTGCAGTTGTATATGAAGGTTCCAGGAAGCAGAACACCAGGTGAGTATAATCTCTTTGCATGAAAAAAAAAAATCAGGTTCTACTGCTGGAGTGTTGATTTAACTGCATTTCAGACTTTCCATGTCTTACAGCATGCCTAAACTTGATAAAACTGTACATATTCAATTTTTTTTTAAAACTTCTTGTTTCACTGAACTCTGAATGTACAAGTAGTTCATTAACTTATAGTGGATATTTCTGAAGCTCTGTTGTGCTGAGTAGTTACCATACTAACCTCTTGCATGCAATATTGTATTCTTTAAGGGGGAAAAAGAGGTCGGAACAGTATTTGTATTTTACATGCCTGGAAAGTTTGTATAGGCTTCCGAAGTAGGTCTTGTGCAGTCATAGAAATGAGTTTACTTTTACTACGTAGATTCTTTATTGACTGAGGATTGAACTCAACACTCCATAGTGATTAGTGCAGTGTTTGGGCACTGGACTAAGACTTGAGGGACCTGGACTAAATTTCAGGATCTTTTTTTTCTGAAGTACAACTTAATTCCATTAGGGATTATGGCTCAGCTTTCCAGCTGTCAAAAGAAGATAAAATACCAGCATTTCTACATTGATTTTGAAAGCTCTTTGGGACAGATTTTCTTTCCACTTGTCTATTCAGTGCCTGAAGTAATGAAGTTTTGCTACTGACTGGGACTGTAAAGAGCTATCATAAAACACAAAATCTAAGCTTTAGCATCTTGAAGCATTTATTCCTACAGAAAAGGAGCTGCTGAAGTACTGGTCAGATTCGCAAGATTGGTAGTTTCAGCTTTTCTTTGTCCACAAACTAACAAAAGCAGAATTCACTTGTCACTGGTAGCTTACTTGTGTTTCTTAACACCATGAAGCATCTAAATAGCATGTGTAAATATATGGAAATATGTACATATTTAAACTGTGATGTAGGGTTTTTTAGTAATCGTAACTTTGCATTTTCATAGCCTTACTTTCATAGATCAGTTTTATATACAGTATGTTTATTTTTCTCTTAATTTCAGGTCATCAAGAAAATAACAACTTTTGTTCAGTAAATATAAATATTGGTCCAGGTGACTGTGAATGGTTTGTTGTCCCTGAAAGCTACTGGGGTGTCATGAATGACTTCTGTGAAAAGTAAGCTGGGCGTGCTGTTTTTCTCTGTTTTTATCAAGTTCTCTGTGCCTTTCTCAGGCTTAAGGGGAGAAATAACTGAGGGTGTTGTAAGAGAACATTACTTTATGGGTTCTCTGTGTAGTCAGAGAAGTCCTAAAATAAGTCAAAGTGCAAAATCTAGAATGTAGACTAAATATGACATTTGTGCAATGTGCAGAAACTTGGACTGCCTGTGATAGCTTTGCTCTCAAAAATTAACATTAGGTTCATTATTTGTTTTTTTGAACACAGGAATGAAGGAAATACAGGACATGAGAGATTGGTAGTAGCAAATGTTCATCTATGTTCAAGATTCAAATTTATACTATATTAAGGGGGATCAGAAGTTTAGTATAAGCATAGGCTGTCTGCTACCAGTGTGAATTATGTGGCATCTATCCAGTTTTTGTAGTAGTAACATTTCCACATCAGAAAGTCCATCTCGGTCCTTGCTGTTTATCTAAGCCCTCTATCATACGTATTAAAGCTGACCTCTGCTTTTACCAAATGGTGATGCTTTTGTAACAGCTTCCAAGGCTGTTGCAGTGGAGTGATGGAATAAAGTTGTGGGTGAGGGAGTTGGGGTTTTGTTTTGGTTTTTTAGGAGCAGTGGAGTATTTTCCTAGTGATGTATGCTGTTAATCTTCATCATGATTAATGGAGGTGTTGTACACAAGCAAGTACAGAGTCATTAGTATTTTGGCATGGTTTCTTGCTGCATCTAGAGGGAGAGCTCAGTTGACTCAGACCCCAGGAGGTGTCATGGCATGCTTTGCATACACTTAAATGTTTGTAGCTTGCTAGAAGAGTTGTGGTGCACTAACTGTTGGGGAAATACTTAGCCAGCTCTAAGGCTGGGGTTTCTATGTTGTGCCTTGAGTGGATGCTTTAAAAACAAAACACACACATGCACGCACACACCGCAAAAATAAGAGGAGGAGCAATTGTGTCCCCTAATCATGCTAGTATTTACCTCGTAGCCTCTGAAGTTAACCTTACAGGATTTTTTTTTAATTTGTCTTGCCCAGTTAAAACTGGACTAAGCTCTTAACTTTTCAGAACTTTGCCAGAGCTCTGCAAATTCATCTCGGTGTCTCTGTGCTCTGTATTTTCTGTCTATCTATGGACATCTTATTTCATCCACCTTTACAAAATTAGCCATCTCAAATTGTAATTCAACTGATACAGTTGCAGTGTCTGTGATGATGACATGCCTTCTACCTCCATGACACTGTCCTGAGGGTGACAGAGAAACTAAGATCTTGGTAACCTCCTAAAATGGTCTAGAATGCCTGATAGAGGCACTGAATTGGCTTTGAAAACTGTGAACGGCAAATTATCTCTCGTGCTGCAGTATAAAAACAGGATAAAATTGGGATAAGGATGGGAGAGAAGTATGTATTTTGCATCACCATAGTGGAAGTGTTTGTGCTCAGGAAATCTATTTGGAGACGTTTCTTCATGCTTCTTGTGTGGGCAAGCTTCATGTGCATATGCTGACAGTACAAGTACATGGTTGACATTGTTCAAAACAGAAAGCATTCTTAAGAGCTGTTATGGTCTGTATATAAAATCAGTCACTGGTTATAAAGGCAGCTTTTGGGACCAGTGTCATGTTAGAGCTAACCAAGGATTTCTCTGCCTCAGCATTAATAAAATACTGGAAGATTTAAAGGAGAATAGAACATAATTGGAAGCCATGAACTGACTTCGCATGAGCAACTAGATAGTTAAGTGTTTTAATGTATTGCAGGATGTGAAATTAGGATCAGGAATTTTATAGTTGAAATTTTCATTTTGACTGGTCCTCCTGTGTTGCTGATTAGATGCAGAAAGCATTTTTTGTGGTGATAGGTTTATACATGTAATTTCATTGAAGTATCAACCACGAGTATATCTGCTGAGAAATGCTGAAGACTTTGTTTTTCCTGTTGTTTCAGGAATAATATGAATTTCCTAATGGGATCTTGGTGGCCAAACTTGGAAGATTTGTATGAAGCCAACGTCCCAGTTTATAGGTTTATTCAGAGGCCAGGGGATTTGGTGTGGATAAATGCTGGCACTGTTCATTGGGTTCAGGCTATCGGTTGGTGCAACAACATCGCATGGAATGTTGGCCCTCTTACAGGTATGGTTGAATAGTGCCTGTGCCAAACTACGTAATTAGGTAATGTACTACATTTGCCACAGAGCCTACCATTTCTTACTAATTTACCGTGCTTTACTAGATTAAAAAAGTGAACGTAATGTATTTTAAAACATTGTGTTGAAGCTTTAAGTAATTCAAAGCAGCAAAAATGCAGTCTTGCACTTATTCATTGACAGACTTTCAGAAATTACAATTGTATAGCAAACATTAGAAGAATAAAAATGTGTGAATTCATATACTCTGTCTTGTAGGCCATTTCTTAACTTTCTTCCCCAAAATTTCTCCTACCCAGCAGACTGTGATATAGGTTGCAATTGGACTTCTCCAATCTAACTTTTTCAGGACAGTGGATACATAATTGTTCTTTAGTGAACGCATCAGGAGATGCGAACAGTTTTAAAATTTTGTTCGTAAAGGTATAAAGTTTTTCAGAGCTGCTCTAGAAGTCTTTATTTTTGAACCATGGTCTTAGGAGGTTTTTAGGTGTGAGAATGAAAGGAAATTTCACAGCTAAAATGTGATTCTGTCAAGCATTTGAAGAGAACGTACTTCCAAAAACCACGTGTTTTTTTAAATAGTTTAACGTGTGTATTTATTTCTTTATGGTGCAGTAAATAGTGTATCTCCAGGATTGTATGACTGACTGATACAGAGTTCACATGTTCCATCACAGCAAATTTTGTAAAACATTTCTTTAAAAAGGGCAGGGTGCGTAGGCTGCTTAATGAAAAAGTCTGAGTCATTGCAACAAATCTCTCCAAGTGCAGTCTTCCTTTTCAAGATCACATAATTACTATAACATTGTAAAATGATTATAAAGAGTGAATAGAGTGAAATGCAGGCGTTTCAATTGTGTATATACTTTTCAAATATTTCAGATTTTAAAACTTTTTTAAATAACCCTTTTTGAAATCTTGCTCTTGGTTCACCATAGAAGTAGAACACCTTTCAGTAACTTATTTTTACAGATAATTGCTGCTGCTCTGGTATTGCATGTTCTTTTAGCATCATAAATACACTTATTAAAGGAATTTTATAGAATTCGAGTTTAGTTGGACTTAATGGATCATTATGAATGAAATTTAATCTAGCCCTAAGTGGTCTAAATTTGGATCATAAGGAAATTATTTTGGCTCCAGTTGATACTTATTTCTTAACTTGACTAATTGCTTTTGTAATTCTGTTTTGGTATAGCCTGTCAATATAAATTGGCAGTGGAACGGTACGAGTGGAATAAACTGCAGAGTGTAAAGTCCATAGTACCCATGGTTCATCTTTCATGGAATATGGCTCGAAATATCAAGGTCTCGGATCCAAAGCTTTTTGAAATGATAAAGTAAGTTTTACTTATTTGAATGTTTACTGTACCCATTTCCTCTTCAAGCATAAATAATAGTTGTAAGTTATCCTTTGTAAGACTTTTCCATTCCTAAGAATCAAGCCAAAATTATTTTATATTCTGTTTTTCAAATAATCAATTTATAAATACCATTAATTTTATTACATCGTATTTGATATTGTGGCATAGCTTTTAGAATGATCTTTTAACATGCCATAGACTTAATATAGCAGTTTACAGAAGCAGTTGACTTAGATGACAAAAGCTGTTCAGAGTACATACTATAAGAAATAACAAAATTAGGTCATCAACTCAAATATTAGAACTAGAATTTTTAGTCTTTCTTACAGCAAAGTTAAGCTTAATTTTACGTTTCCAGAACCTCTAAGTTATTGCTCTCGCGCTGTCATTTGGAGATCCAGTATAAATGTTTTAAATAGAGGCACATAGAAATGTGAAAAGCTCATTCCCTTTGCTCTTTCTTTTGTGAATTAATGCAATGTAAAATGAGAAATGAGTCTAGGGACATTTCTCATACACATATTCCAAAATTCAGGAATATTCCAGGCTCCAAGCATCTTTAGTAGTTTTCTTCAGAGCACACCTTCAACATATTGCAGCACCATTATACCTAGGTTGAGGAATGAATTTCAGCAGATATCATAGGATTGTCCTAAAGGAAGTGGGGGAATGAATTCCAAAGCAAATGGCTCCTCATGAGAGTTACTCTGTTTTTCTTAAGTCTACCAAAGGAACTTCTAGCTTGAGCATCTCTTAGTCTTTTCAACATAGTGGATCCACAAGCATCAGATCTGTTTATAATTTCGCTTGAAATGGATCTTTAAAAAATGAGTGGGTTAACTTGCAAAAAAGGGCAAAGAAAAATATTTTCTCTAGTAGGATTTATTGATGACATCTGAGTGAGACATCTTTTTACAGTAGGAATTAAATATAGGCTTGAAAATCTGTTGCAGAATGGTAGAGCTGGTGAAATGGTAACTTTGTAAGGACCAGGAATGTTGGAAGTTGAAGATGGGGAGGTTTGTAGTCACTGCAAAGCTAGATTTTGGAGTAGCATTTATGTGTGAATACTTTTCTTAAAATCTAGAAACCAATATCTAGGGTAAAGAAAATCTTTGCTGAAGGCTTGACAGTCCTTCCCCTTCAATAAAGCTATTAGTGCTTATAGTCAGGATGCCAGCTGTCATAAAAGAGAGAGGAGAAACTGAATAGTTAGAAATGAGAAACAGGGGAAAGAAGCAGGGTGTGGGAGGGAGGAAGCCAAAAAGTCCATAAAAAAAATAAAGAAGCCCAGACCAGCAGGCATATATTGTAAAGCTCAAAAGAGTTCTGGAACCTTTTTGGCAAAATATGATTTCGATATTTTGGGACCTGTTTTGCATTTGCACAAGCTTGGAGGTTTTTGCTATGGGCTTAAAAGGAGAAAAACAATTAAGCATAGCATCATTCTCCAAAAGAATATCTCAAAATATTGTGATGAAATGAGGACAAAATGGTTGGTTGCTATTGTCTTGTGGCTCATGGCAGCTGAGGTTTTTTTCTGGACACCTAAATTTTAGCTGTACATTACAAATAAACGATGCTGAGGAGGAGATACGAACTTTGGTCTTGGATGTGTTTGCTTTTTCCAGTCTAGTGAAACCACTTCCAGTTTATCTGAATGAGGCCCTCCTTCCATCCAAGTTAGTTGTCAGCCATATCCCAAGTTCCATGCTAGGCGTGCAGCGGGGAAGAAGATCCAGTGATGAGCTCTGGTTTGTAACGTCTAGCGGCAGCAACCTGAGATAGCTCTTCATTGTGGTCACCTCTATAGTTATGATGCAGCTGTCACCAGAATACAGAGTCTAGTGTCTGACCTTGGCTTTGTAAGCATACTGAAACTGCAGATACCTTCAGAAATCTCCTTAAGATAGGAAAGCAGTTGCGTAATTTCCCTGTGAATTGTTTGTCTGCAGGAAAATAGCACCAGTTGGCAAGTAGCTGTTGTCCACTGCTCCTGGATTTTATAATGTACAGAATATAAATGCGTGTGTATATGCATGTATATAAAAACACTTGAGAAATAGTGATTTCTGATACAGCTGGTTGAATTTCATGTTGAATAGATGACTTCATTTGTCATCAAGAAAAAAAAATTTATCAGTGACACAGCTGTCATCTTTTTGCCAAGTGCAGGTCTGTATCTAAATTGCACGTTGAAGATACCTGAAGTGTTTCATTAGTTTGACTTCTGTCTCTGGGGCTGCTTAGGTATCAGAATAGTACAAAAGAATAGCTCTTAGAAAACAATAAAAAGTAGTTTGGAATTCCAGTTTGAAAGACAAATACAAATACGTCTTGCTGAGCTATGTTAGAGTAACCATTGAAGTGGTAATAAACTAAAATTTGAGCATGCATATAAATAGTGGGAACCTGATCAATGATGAAAACGAACAGAACAGCAGTAGGGGAAAAATAATAGGAGGAAACTTTGCTTTTGGAAGAAATCTGAAGCCTCCTTGTATTTTTAGTTAATGTGCAACTCGGTGCTGTCTTGCTAGATAAAAGACGAAGAGCAGAAACTGAAATGCTATCATGAAATGTTTTTTAAAGATTTTTATATTAACATTAGAATCATGAGCAGGAACACAGGCAGACAGAATGATTTAAAACTTGACTGAGGAAGCGCAGCCCTCCAGAAAAGAAAAATTAACTGCAGACCTCTTAGATGGAAGCTGGAAGGACTTTTACAAATGCATCTGAGGAAGAGAATTTTAGAGGTAGTGGGAACGTGGTAATATGTAATAAAAAATTAATTCTGAAGTAACTGAAATACTAAGTTCTTTTACAAAAATAGTTTTAGAAACAGAAAAGAACATGACATAGGAGAAATTATTTTTCACAAAATCATGAAGCCAAATAAAATACATTTTGGTATCAGTAGGAAAGCTACATTACTGAAAGATAGAGAGAGGTCGGTTTTGCATTGCCGTTAGGATTATCTCCACACTTCAAAAAGTTTTACTGGATATCTGAATATTCAAACAGGTTTCTCACTGCCCTTCTAGAATAAATCAGGATTATGTCCGTTTTAAAATAACCTTCTCTTAAATATTTGAATGACTGGACATGATTTACTCATACTCCTTATGCCATACCTGTAAAGAATTTGAGAGAGATACATGGTCCAGAATTCTTACTGTACGAGAATAAAAGCAGGCCTACAATACTAAAAGCTGACACAGTTTAACTTACACATTGTGACTCTGCTAGACAACTTTTTGGCTTTCTTTAGGCTTCCCATACTTTAGGAAATTGTGATGCATTTTCAAAGTGGTCGTTCACATGGTTTCTTTCATTCTTTGACACCATGAAATGGTTAATGTTTATGTTTTCAAGTGCCAGTACTGGCATCTGAATTTTATCCAAGGAGGGGGAATTCACCTTCCAGCTATTGTTTTCAGCTTTGGTTGCAAATTTGGCAAACATTGCAGCAGTGTTATATGTGGGTTACATTTTGGGCAATTTTTTCTTCACAACTGTAACACTAGAAGACTCCTTGAAAATAACTGTTTGGAAGTCAGGAGGGGAGAACAGTGGTGGCAAGTGTGCAGGTGTACCTCCAGTTGCTCAAAGATTTCTCCAGATATAACAGAAGAGAACAGAAGCATGGTAGCTTTTAAGGTTATTTTGAAATCAGGCTATATTGTGTAAAAGAACACTACTGAATTCATCAGAAACCCATCTACGTTAGCCCAACATTCAAGTGAATTAATACATGGTCTATCACATATGGTTGGTCTTAGCATCAGTCCCATTAACATCAAACTTTGAAAGTGTTGAAGGAGTTAGAGCTAAATTAGCTGTTTAATTTTCTTGAAATTCAGTGTATGAAAATACGGTGTTTAACATAGAAACACGCTTTCCGTTTTGCACTGTTCTTACAGTGAGGGTATTAATGAAGCCATAGACTTGTTTTTAGTGAAGATGAACAGTCTTAATTGTAAAATATCAAGAGGAGAGTATCTCAGAGTAAGCCTCAGAGTCTATTAACTACTTGGAAACATGGAAGAAACATTTTTTTAAAAATACAGAATGTATATATTCCATATTTAAGACTTTAAAATGGGAGAACGATCCAGTTGAAAATGTTTTGAGAGAACTCTTGAGCACTTTGTTTTCTGTCCAATGTTTAATCTTCCCCTTACATTTTTTCAATCTTCCTTCTCCATCTAATGAGCATGTAACGTAACCACCCTGTGGAGGAGAAAATTAAAGGCTGCAGAGGCTGCAGCTCAAATAAATAAGATAGCTGAGAGCTAAAAATTACTGTAAATAACATTGTAATTTAGAAATCTGGCGACCTATTTTTCCAGCTTTTTTTTTTAGAGACCGTACGTAGCTCATACAATGCTAGAAAACAAATTAGATTTTTCTAGTGCAGAAGAGAACTGTATAAAATTGTGAAAGTAATTTTTTTTTATCCTTTACAGAAATATGGCAGGGAATTATTGATTTTAATTTGACATTTGACGATTTCTTTTCTTCATTCATAAAATAAATGGGTTTTTTTTAATCTTCTTTTTTTCTTAAGAAGGGATGTTCGTTTCTAATACCAACCTGTCTATTCTTTTCCCTTCTTTGTGGAAGAAGATACATGTTGGTAGACTTTATTTCCACTGTGTGCAGCATGATTCCTGTCAGAACTTGGGTTTCTAGACTTGGGATAACTGAAAATTTAGTAGTGTTGATAACATGGTTTTGAGGATGTTAGTTAAAACAGTTCTTTGGATAGGCTATAGTCATTTACACAAAATATAAACAGTTATTTTGAACTTGACTGTTCAAACTAACTTTTTGCTGATTAATTCATAGTTCAAAATAAAATACATCAGTTGCTTCTGAGAACACCTTGTTTTATTGTGCGTGAAAGAGCACTCATGCGTTCCAGTCAAAAAATGAAAGGTGCAGCCTGTTGGCAGGGCAAGGGGCAGTACTGAAATGGAACAAACCTATCCAGAGGTTCATAAACATGGAGTCTGACTGCTATGTAAGTCACGGTCGTTCTTATTAACCAACTGTTTCCGAAATCCCGGAGGAAGAGGAAACTCCAGGTACAGGGTCTTGGAGGAAATTTAAGCCTACTTGAATCTTGCTGTAAATCTGAACATTGAACTGAATATACAACTGATTGTGATTGCAGGTACTGCCTGTTAAGAACTCTCAAACAGTGTCAGACACTGAGGGAAGCTCTGATTGCTGCAGGAAAAGAGATTGTCTGGCATGGGCGAGCAAAGGACGAGCCAGCTCATTACTGTAGCATTTGTGAGGTCAGTAAAAATATGTGTTGGGCTTGTGTCCTACTGTATTCTTTATTTAAATTCTGTTCTGTATTTTGTTCTTGCTATTGTAATTTTGCTTTTAGGCTGTAGCATCTACAGTATACTGTAAACACATACATGTGATGCAGTTCTGTCTTCAAAGACCTTATCAAGCTGTTTTTGCTGTAGTCTCCGTGTTGTTATTCACTAGGTCGATTTTCAATTCTCAGTATAAAAAGTTGTTATCCCTTCCTTCATATAATTTGATCTGCTGAGTTTCATTTTAAAGATGTATCTGTCTTCATTTCAGAAGTCAACAGCAGCCCTAAAAGAAAGAGAATTTAAGTATATTTTCCTCACAGGATATACTTTTTTGCTGAAAGTTTTGATTCTACTTACTGTTAATAATTCCTTTAAGTATTGGATAATAGTTTTCATGAATCTTGAAAGACATTAAAATTTTCCTACCCCCTGAAAATCCGTTTCTAGTTACCTTCTGACTGAGCCTCTTAAGCAGGACGAGCTTGTGACTGAATAATAAGGAAATAAATCATTAACTTCCTTTGCAGACAAATTTTAAAAAGGAAAATTACGTATAATTGTTATAAATCCCCACCTTACTGAGTATCCCCTATTCAGAGTATGAATCCTGCTTTGTCAGTATTGACCAGAAGCTTTCCCATAGCGCTGTTCATGCAGACCTCCTAAGTGTAATATTAGTGTTTTTACAATACTTCACTTCTCTGCCTGAGCCTTAGGAGGATAGATTTTCCCTGTACTAATCTAATTTTTCTCTTTGCATGCACATGATAAGGGTGTAAATGTTAAATAAAATACAGTTTTTATGATTTAACTTTTAAAAAATGAAATTCTAACAGTTGGCTTTCTGTTTCCTATCTAATAGGTGGAAGTCTTTGATCTGCTTTTTGTCACTAGTGAGAGCAATTCTCGAAAGACCTATGTTGTACATTGCCAAGACTGTGCACGAAAGATAAGCACGAACCTGGAAAATTTTGTGGTGCTAGAACAGTACAAAATGGAGGACTTGATGCAAGTCTATGATCAATTTACATTAGTAAGTCAAATTAATAAGTGGGTGCATAAGTACATTATTTGTAAAGCAGTTGTAGACTGTCTTGGTACTCCACTGTATGAGTACCATGGACTTTCTGGTTCAAATGGAGGTATGGGTTGTGTGTGATGTTTGCAGCACAAAACGCTGAAGAGTCAGAATTATGTGAAATAGTACTGTAACTTACTACAGATCGTAACCGCTGAGTTTACAGGAAAAGTATGATGTTACAATTCATAAAGTTGTGGCTTTAAAAATCCAATAGAGATCACCTGAAGACCATAACTGGATCAGATGGAGATGGGAAGAATCAGGACAGTGAAGCTTGGAGAAACTAGCACCAGGTTCAAGAGCATCTCTAATACATTGGTTGTGGTATGAAGTCAGTATAGCAGCAGAGCATCCTATGCACTCAGACTCCTTCCTTCCCCTTCCCCACCCATCCCCTCCCAAATCAGCACTGTCCTTCTGCTTAGCAAGTGGATGCTCTCAAACAGTTCTGTCTTTTGGCTTGGGGCCTCCTTTGCATTTCAATTTAAAGCAAAAAGCCTCTTTGCCATTATAGCTTTGTGCTATGTATGGCAGCCTCCTGCTTTGAACTGTGTCAGCACAACTGTCCTAACATTTCACCCAGGTTTCATTGTTTCAGGCAAAGATGGCTTGTTTGTTATCACAATGAAAGCGATGCTGGATTTATTTATAAGCCTTGCCTTTCTGTCAAAGGAGACAAACGTTGGACTGAGTATTATGCGTATTTCCTGTTGAATTAAATACAACAGCCCAGAAGTGGCTGTGCCTTTTGATTCATTTCCAGGTGCTGCAGAAACTGTATGCTTAGACAATTATTTTGTGTAATGTTAGCGTGATAAGTTGTGACCTTTTGAGCCAAGGCCTCAAGGTTCAGTAGCAGCGGCTGGTGAGAGTGCAGGACCATGTTCTCTGAATTTAGTTCTTTTCATTGGTCCTACCGAGCCTGAGGTGGTTGAACTGCAATTCATACTTCTAAGAGCCCATTGTCATTATAGTTTGTGAAATACTGCGATTTCCAAGTGATGATCTGTTATAGAAAAGCATATAAATAAACACCTCTTCTCAGATCCATCATCCAGTTGAGTGAAAGTGGGCAAGAACGTTTCTGTATGAAAAGAGGTGGGAGGGATGGGTATTTTGTTGTCTGTGTTTGTATCGTTATATAGATAAGTGATGGTACTGTCCCTAGAACAAGGGTTCTCAACCTGTGAGCAGCTCACTCCCCTATCAAAGCCTATACCTGCAGCCCTAAAGGGCATTAATTGTTCTCCTGTGAAATTGGTGTGCTCATTAATTTATTTTAAAGGGGATACTGTCTCAATTAAGAGGAGTCATAGCCTAAAAGTGGTATCCTGCAGATCTAAGAGAAGAAATGAAGTTTGTTGCAGGTCAGAAGGGAAAGATAATCTCAGATGGCAAAGGTGCAATAGGTCTAATAGAGAGGCTCTGTTTGGGTAAAGTACTGGGAGCAAACATGGGGATCAGCTACTGTTAGTGTTTCATAGGTGGGTACTATGGTATGATTTAAAGAGTCTTTAAAGACTGTGAGCAGCTCCTTGAAGGGATTCCATGTCATGAGAGACTGGTGAGCAGGAAAAGAGGAGAAGGAAATGCCATCAAAACTTCAGTATTTTGATGGTAATGCCACAAAGTGCAATACTGGGAAACAGGTGTCTTCTAGACCTTGTCTCCTGAAAGCAAGCAGGAACAAGACACGTAGCTTACTTCTCTCTTGAGGCACTCAGGTGTTGTCTTCCAGGATTAAAACAAAACAAAGCCAAAAACAAACAAGCAAAACACAAAACCCAACTTTGTCCCCATGTCAGAGAATCTGAGACCCTTTCCACAGATATCCTAACTTCATGGTTATATGTTATTGTTTAGGTAGAGAGGGAAAAATGAAGGCATCTGAAGAGTCACAAATGGACAATCTCTCCCTACCCCCACTGGTAAACAGGTTGAGAATCCCTGTTTTAGAGTCTATAAAGATGTCTCTATACTGAGCTCTCTGCGGCCACAATGGGAGTTGTTTTGGCAGCTTACATTGTATTAACACAGACATTCCCACAACATACTCCAGTCTGCAGTATAGGCGAAATCCTAATGCAGAGTAGTTGTAAAATTTGCATTGTATTTGAGTAAGTTGGAAAAAAACCCCCAGTATCCACCTCAAAGATTCTGAAGTGTAAAAACAGTAGTGCTTGTGACTTTAAACTCTCGTGGTTACAATTTGTGCAGGTCTCGGTTAAGCAACTGAGTTTTACACCCTTGTAGAAAAGGTAATCTAATGTTTTCTTTTTCAGGCTCCTCCATTGCCATCCTCCTCATCTTGACATTTTTTCATGGACATTAAATGAAAACTTTTCTGATATTCAGGAAGTGACCCAGTTCTGCACCACTGATTTTTGTAGCTATCCCGTAAGGCTGCTGGCTGAAAGCTGTGTCTATGCAACCTTCCAAGTGCGGAGTGTCAACCAACTGGACAGGAGAGAGCACTGCCTCCTACTCCAGAACTCAAAACAAATAAAGCTCATCCAGCTGTACTTCAAAAAAATAATTCCATGTTTTGTATATATCTGACAAAACTGGCAACATTATACAGACTACTGACTTGAAGACCACCTCTTTTGTATTTCTCTGTTTCTGGGCTGATGAGTTGGTTTCATCCATTTTTCCCTTTCAGAATTTCCCTTGGAAAAAGTACTAGCTTAGCTGGTCATTTCTTTGTAAGGTAGTTAGAAATTTTAAGTCTTTCTTTGGGCAACTTTTTTTTTTTTAATGTGAAGAGTTAGGTGATATAAATTTTTTACTGCTTTTATGTTTTTCTGTCTTGTTTTGAAACCATGACGGTTACACTTTTGGTTCCTAAATAAAATTTAAAACAATTAACAGCCAAGTCACAAAGATAAATGGGTTGCACATAGACTAAGGAATAAACTTCAGATTTGTGATTTTTGTTTCTAATCTTGATGTAAATTTACACTATTTATAAATACATATTTATTGCTTGAAAATATTTGTGAATGGAATGCTGTTATTTTTTCCAGATTACCTGCCATTGAAATTTTAAGGAGTTCTGTAATTTCAAACACTACTCCTATTACATTTTCTATATGTAAATAAAACTGCTTAGCATTGTACAGAAACTTTTATTAAAATTGTTTAATGTTTAAAGTTTTTCTATTGTTTGAGTTTTAAAAAGATTTTATGTACAGTGCCCAGTTTTTGTTCTTTTTTTGAATCTGATTATATATATATTTTATATATACTCTTGTGCTTGTGTATATATATAATATATATAGAAACTCGAATATAAATATGTGTATAAAGATTTAGAGACTAAATTTTTCTCGTTTTAAGTTTTACATCTATGGTAGATTTGAGGTGTCTACTGTAAAGTATTGCTTACAAAAGTATGATTATTTTTAAAGAAATATATGGTATGTATCCTCAAGACATAAAATGACCTTCAGACTGGTTTATTGTTAAATTGCACTTTTTGCAATAACAGACCAATAAATAGTTGCTGCCAAAATGTAGTAGTAGAAGATAAGTAACAGCTAAACTTTAAAGCTCTTCAAGAAAGTACCAGCTTTGACAGGAAGTTTGGCACTAGTTTTAGAGGAGGAATGAAAAAGGTGAACTTGAGTTTGGGTGGGGATATTCTCTAGAATTCAACCAAATTGCAACTTATATATTACAGTATGTTCTATTAACAGTTTAAAAAGTTAAGACTGAGTCATCTTGGTGTCATTGTTGACCCCAAAAAAGGACATTGTTTTGTGGTATTCTATTGTACTTTCACATATTTTGTAATACGAATTCACTGGTAAATTTTTGAAGCACTAGGTTTATTTAGGACAAGTTTATAATATATCATTGTAACAGTTTGCAGTTTTAATGATGGTATTTATTTTAAGTTGCTCCTCTCTCATTAGCTTCTTGAAAATGCATTAAATCTAAATTTCAAAATTGTTAGCTTTCGTATCGATCAGAGTTGACTGATGCAGAAGGTTCTGCACCGAACAGTTTCTCATAATTTCTCATTAGTGGAGTATGTCAGTGATTGCATTGTTAAATTTTTTGTAATCAATGTGAAGTGTTAAAGGCACAGAGCATGCTAATAGTTTCTTTTGAACAAAAAGAATCGCCTCTTAACATTTGTAGCTTCAAACGAAGGGTGTTTTAATGAAGAATCAGTACAGCTTGTCTAATGCTGTTACTACAGTTTAACCATAGTTATAAATGGCTTTCTTGCTAGTTCTTACTACAGTTGGACAAAAGAGTACAGAGGTTAAAGAAGAGCAGAACAAATGCTCTTGCCAGCAGAATTACCAACTAGCAGTTAGGAAGTCAGTGTTTGCAGTTCTGTAAAGATGTAAGTCTCAGCTCTTGATAACAAACTCGACAAATAATTTTTTTTTTTACTTATGTATTTTATGCAGTCATAAATATTGTAATCTTGACAAACCATGCTGCAACTGAAAAGCTACTCCTTTACAGTAGTCTTAAACCCAAATAAAAGCAAGATAACTTACCTCAACTAACGGTAAACAAAAAGTCCTCATTTCTCAGTGCTGTGAAAGAACATTGAAAGAGCTTCTGTGCGCTAATCAAAAGAGCTTTGTACCTTTCGTCCCCTTTGGAAAAGAGGATATGCCATTACCAAGGAAGAAAAAATCTGTATTTCACCAATGAACAAGTAGACCAAATCAGGAGAGCATCAGGCAGTACTGCTCACTCTGCTTGAAGGGTTTGTCATGGATCTGAATTGCTGCAGGGCTTTAATGTTTTGCAGTTTTCATACTTCTTAATTACACTATGCTCCTAATTGATGGACAGTTTTCATCTATAAGCTGCTATGATTTAGAATGCTGTTGTTCCATTTTATTAAAAGCACAAGTTAATATTTTACCAGTTGTAGTTATTATGAAGCACTTCTGCTTCTTAAATTACGAAGCACAGGATGCAAATGAGACATTTGTAATCTCTGGATGTTTCCAACCGTTAGCAGCTGGGGGGGGCAGAGGGAGGTGGGTGTCCTACACTGAAAGCATCCAAGGAACCTCAGTCTTGGGGCCCTTGAGCCCCACAGCTGTGCCACACTGCAAGTGCTTCTGATTCGCTTGCAGCTACCAGCTATTGGGGCAGGCAAATTAAAGATCAAAGTGTAAAAGGATGAAAATGGCCGAAGATGGGGCATTTGCTGCTAGAATTTCTGAAAGGTACAGACTAATAGAAAGAAGACACTATTAAGGGATGGATAAAACCAGAGATACAAATGGGGATTTAAAAAAAAAAAAAAGTTAAATGTTGACTTAAAGATAAAAGGGAATTAGAAATAAACAGCAGCATTTGCTACTGACCTGGGGATCCGAGAACTGTTCTGGAGGAGCATGACAACAAAGGGATCCCATAAATGGGGAGCAAGAGTAGTCACTTTTTTTTGAGCTTAACTTAAGTTCTTTTGTAAAAATATTCAGCAGAGCATTTGGTTTTTAAGCTTTCCTTCAGGTCCGTAACTTGGAAGCAGTATCTCTTTGCTTTTTTTGAGAAGTGAAGTCCTACCAGTGGTTCCATTTTAGAAGCAGTGACATTGGTAGCTATATAAGCAAGAAGTATTTAGAGAAAGGTCATGAGGAAGTGAGAAGTATCCAGGACAGAAGATTCCCCAAACTTCCTGAATTTATATGGCAGATAACTGGTTGATCCTAAAGACAAAGTGTCCCTGAGTCTGCACCTTTCTGGAAGAAGGACTTTTGAAGTAGTGTTAAAATTACGTTGCTTTGCTTAAATGAGTACAGCTTGGCTCAGTTCAGCACAGTGCAGCAGATTCTTGGAACAAAGGTGGGCAAGGACTGGGGACTCCACAGTTGGTGATAATCCTGGCCACAAAGGCTTTTATTGATCAGGAGGTGGCCGATGCAAGGATTTGACTGAGATGATAGGGAAGAAGAGGGTGCTCATCCTTGGTTGCTGCCCTGATCCTGGAAAGGGGGTCAAGTAAAAATTTTGCTCGGCGTAGAGGGCTGGAAAGAGGGCTGTTAAGCCTGACCTTTCCTAGGTTTTGCCTGGAGCCGTAGCAGAGACTATGGCCCAATGATTCAGTAGCTGAGATGGGGCCAGGAGATAAGGGTGGTAGGGAAGGTTCATCTTCCATGGCTGCTTTAGCCAGTGTGGGGACCAGGCAGAGGAAGCCTCCAGTTGGGAGATCAAGAAGTAATACAGTGTGGGGAAAAGGGTGATGAGGGTGACAGTTTGCCCTTGGGGCAGGTCAAAGCTGACTGATATTGACTGTTTCAATTGTGATGGTGCTGACAGCAGAAGGAGGGATGCAGGTGATGCCCAGACAAATTCAAGCTGAAGCTCAAGTCCAAGAAAGCTCAATGCAGGGCTGCTAACTGCAGAGGCCCATGGAGGAAAGCACAGGATGCTGGGGAGGAGGCTGCTAGCAGGGCAGCAATGTGGGCATGGGGCCCACCAGGCCCCAGGGCAGCGTTGTTCCAGGAAAATTGCAGCATTGCTCCAAAAAGGGGGTGGCAGGACATTTGGTACTTGGGGAAAGTTTGTGGGAGGATAGGTGGAGGGGGAGATGACAGATTTCCATGTTGGTGCCAGGAGCTACATGCAAAGCTAAAGAAAATATCAGGTTGAGAGGGCAGAGCCCATGCTGCAAGAGGTTATGTGGGGTAGGATGCAGCCATACCCCGTGTCTAGGCTAGGAACACGGGGACGACCCCTCAGCCCCACAGGAGCCGTCACCCTGGGTCTAGGGGGGAGCCCATAAGCTGGAAGAATGTGAGTGGGTGTCAGTGGCATTGTGCTAGAGGAGCTCTCCCACCAAGTGCAGCAGCGCGTGGGGGTGGTGTCTGGTTGTGATGGGGAGCCTATGTTAAAAGAAAGATTCAAAAGATTAGGTATGGGGTAAGGTGAGTGTATTCTTATTTACTTTGAGAAGCCACGAAAACATACTGCAGGGACAGAAGAAGAGAAAAGGCACTTCATGGTGTCAACAGCAGGAGAGCTCAGCTTTCAGCTTTGCCACTTGGGCAGCGGTGCACAGGTCACTGCCAACCCCCCCTTGTCATGGGCCTTGTTAAAGCATTAAAATACAACTGCTGCTGCCCCTGTCCAGAGAATGGCGGAGTATTGGGTATGCACAGCAGCTAGTATGCGTGCATGGGGGTGGAGGTGGGATGGAAATTGATTTATCATTGGAGCCCACTGCCTCCCTACTGTCCTGCCCCTGAGCTCCTGAAGGGCAATGGCTCCTCTCTTGCAGAAGGCAGCATGCTCCATTTTCTAGCAAGATGGAGTACTGCTCTCAGGTGACACTTCCCACATTTATTTCTGATAGGAGGTACTTGTAGGCCTGGCCTAAACGTGCACTGTTGCCTGGGATGTATGGAGGACATGTGACTTGGGACTGAAGCTGGTGAGAAGGGAACCAAGGCAGAACAGGCATAGGAGAGCACAATTTAGAAGTAGCAAAGCGTGGGCAATGGTTAATTGATTAATTAATGGTTAATTAATTGATGGGTTAATGGTTAAACAAATGGGCTAAAGCACTCGCTCCTTTAATTCCTGGAGCTGAAAGCCAAGGCATACAGGCTAGCCATTGCCAAAGTCCATGGAAACGCTGAAGCGTGGTATGAAAGAGTTGGCTGTGAAGTACATGCAAAAATTTAAAATCATTGAAAGGGGCAGAAAGGACGCCACGAGAGAAGAAGTAGCCTAAGATGTGACCAGTGACGTGTGGCTGGGCTGTCATTTATATTAGCCTTCCAGGCACAGTGAAAGATCAACAGAAATAAAGAATATTTTCAGCCCTTTTCTCCTCTTTACTTTTCAGCACCAAACCAGTTAGAAACTGAGTAGTCCTTTGAGCGAACTGGACTTTTCTTGTGGCAGTGGTCAGGCATCGTTAGCTTTCAATGCCATATGCAAATTGCAATGTGCAGTTTGCATCTGCTGGAGCTTTAATCTGTTCAGTTTTAAGATATAGAAAGTTTAGGGTTTTTAGGGGGGATGAGGAGGTCCAGTACATCATGGCTAGTGGGCTGTCCCACCGGCTGGCCAGCTTCTGCAGCAGTAACTCAAGGCCTGCTCCAGAGCCCGTCCGCAGGCAAGGTTCAGGTGGGTGCAGAACCAAACTGGACTTCAGATAGGAGTGAATTTTGGCTGGTGGAGGATAAACAAGCCACCAGGAATAGCCTCACCTGGGGTGTGAAGAAAGACATGGAAAATAACTAGCAACCAGTCATAGTTGCCACAGTAGGTTTAGGTTGGGATTTTTTTTTGGAGGGGGGAATTGGGCAGGGGAGAAGGATGTGCAGAAGAGTTTTTCAAGGGTAGTAGCACTGGGCAGGGTGTCCAGCACAATGCGAGAAGAGCATCTGCTGCGGTTTGGTTCCAGTAGTCCAAGGCCGCCTCAAAGAGCAGATGTCTTCACAGCTGAAGATCTGGGAGTATATTCCAGGGGCTCAGGAGCTGCTGGCAGGCTCAGGGCAGATTTACGGCTCTGTATTTATGTGCAGGATCTCCTCTTGCTCATAAGACACCAGTGTTACCTCTGCTGTCCTGGATTAAATGCTAATGATTTGGGGAGGTATTCGTTGCAAACAGGGCAGCTCTCCAGCCCCTGTGTTGGGTGTCAAGAGGAAGGAGCAGTGAGGGGGAGCTGGCTCTGCTAGGCAGTGAGGAGCAAATTACACCAACCCCGCTTGTACTCCCTGTGGTGTAAGAGCTTTTTAGTAGGACAACAGTGGAGGTTTAGATTGGGTAATAGGAAAAAATTATTCAGTGAAAGGGTTATCAAGCTCTGGAAGAGGCTGCCTAGGGAGGTGGTGGCGTCACCATCCCTGGAGGAGTTTAAAAGATGAGTAGGTGAGGTGCTTAGAGACATGGCTTAGTAGTGGACAGGTTATGGTTGGACTCCATGATCTTCAAGGTCTTTTCCAGCCAAGTGATTCTATGATTCTGTATGTTGGAGGGGGTTTAGGGCAGTTACTGCTTAATACTTGGCCTGGTCTTTTATGTGCTTATGCTTCCCAGGCTGATGCAACCCCAAAAGTTATATGAGAGCATGCGGGAAGGTAAGTTTTTAGGTGACAAAGTGATCATGGTTACACTTGAGGAAGCAGAGGTGCCTGGGCAGCTTGGGGAAGCTGATCTGCAGTCATCAGATACAGGTGCAGAAACCTGATACCTGGCTGGCAGGTTTAAAAACAAAAAATAAAGAATTGGTTTTAGTG